AACAGTCACTTTCCAGGATTTGTAATATTCTGTTTACTTATATATATATACCAAACACATTTTTGAGAGGTCTGAAAAATAAAATTTAAATGTAGAAAATCTACACATATATCCTTTCACTGGGCTTCTCCATCTTGGCTCGCTGTCAAACATAATTCTATTTCCATTTCCTGCTATTGAATGTAGTGGAGGAAGAGAAACTGCAACAATGTATCTGTTCTCCTCACTTGTAATGTGTGTGCTGGCTGTGTGTTGTTTGACTTGGATTGTAATGTCACTTGCTAAATCTTTAATATACATTTAAAAAGAAATAGGATTGCGTGAAGAAGGATAACACACATGTTTTATCGAAGGTGTCGTTTCCATAGAAGGGACAGGTCCGCTTTAATTATTATAAAGTACTGCAGAATAGGTTGAACTACATAAATGCCAATAATAATAAAAATAATTCCAGTACACATACAATTGTTATAAACACAGGTAGCAACACAAGGACTGGGACTGGCTGAGTTTACTAAGTCATTACCTGTTTTTAAAAGAACATTAGTGAAGAAGGACCAGTGTTTGGTGATCTGTTACTAAAGCCAAACATTTCGTGATCTATTATTCTATTTATTTATTTTATTTTTATTTATAATGATTTTTTTTTTGTCCTTGTGTCGTTAAGGGGTTAAAAACTGTATGTAGAGATCCACAATATAAACACAATGTATACAGTTTAGGTACATTTTTCCTTTTATATGGATATCTTGAAGAAAAATGTGTCGACAAATAAAAATCTAAATAAGTAGCAAAGCTGAAACGAACAACAAGATATTTTGGTACAATTGGGATTAATATATTTAATTTAAAGAAAAACACAGTTCAAATGTTGTTGTTTGAAATTATTGTAAATAACAGATTTATTAAACATGTTAATTAAACATTGCTTGTTTTCTCCTTAATGAGTTAAGCTAATGTTATTATATCAAAATGCTGATTTAAACTAACTTTGATCACTGTATAAAAGTAATTTTAAATAATGTAACAGTAATATTAATTAGTGTTAAGAAATTAAATAATTTAAAGTAAGTTTATTCATTTTTTATTTTTCAATTTATTAATGGACAAACTGTGCCTTTGGTTACATGGCTTAGTTTGATTAAAAGGTATATTTAATATAATAAAACTAAACTAAAATACATTTTGGCACTGAAATTTAATTAAATCTGAATATTATAATATTATATTCCATGAAGGGAGACGGGTGGAAAAAAGCTAATTTGCTTGTTAATTTTATGAAATAAGCCTTACATAAAATGGCAATAATTAAAACAACATTAGAGGTTATTAACAATAAAAATTTAAATATTCTTTACAAAATTGATTTACCTGGTATTTACTAACATGGATAAATGTAGCAATCTTATCAACATATTTTTTTCCCAATTATTTATTTAGGAATTATGTATAAAAAGTTTCTGTTCTCACCTTCACCACACACTGTCCCACTTCGAACAACTCTGCGTAGCCAGACAGCATCTTACCCATGACATATCGCACCTATATTCCACGCTGCAAAACTGCGGGGACCAAAGCCCTTTAGGCTTTACGGTACAGTGGGAAAGGGAAACAGGGGTCGAGCTATCTGATACAAAGTGGCAAAAAATCTTCCAATTGACGCACAAGGGGACCATTAGCCCAAAGTTTCAGGAATGCAATTATAAGATATTGTCGCGATGGCATAGAACCCCGGACATCCTTCGTCACGTCCACGAGTCCATCTCGGGTGAGTGCTGGAGGTGTGGAGCCGCGGATGGTACCGGGATCCATATATGGTGGGCATGCACACGCATTGAGCCTTTCTGGCGAGAGATACACCAAGCAATTAAAGACGTAACGGGGATAGACATCCCTTTCCAGCCGTTGCCGATGCTGCTGAATCACACGAGTATGCCAGTGACCATGTACAAAAAGGGCCTCGTTATACACCTACTCACGGCAGCAAAATCGCTTATCCCCACGCTGTGGAGAAATCCGACAGCTCCTACCTTTTGCCAGTGGGTAGATAGAGTGGAAATGATCTACAACATGGAAATGATGACGGCGTCTCTGCAGGGACGCTCAGATAAATGTGCTCTAACATGGTTTCCATGGATGGAGTACACGACGGGGGGGGGGGGCCGCGGGGGTGCCCGATCCGGGGGTGGGGGCGCTCCTGCACCGGCACAACTTCTTCCTCCCCCGACAGACTGACAGATACACGTAGTCCTCACTAACATGGGGGCTGCACTTCCCTAACCACACAGCTATGACTAATCCCCCCCTTCCCCATCCCGATATCCAGACGGACAATAAACTGGGGCGACTACACGGGTATAGGCTTATAAACTCATCAATCCACTAACCAGGCATGCGTGAAATTTGGGGAGTTAGGGGGGGACACAAGGCAAAGGCGGGCAGTAGGTCGTGTAGGCACTGGGAGGAGAGGGGATTACGGGGCTCTCGAACCTCGTTAGGGTGGTTGGGAGGCACACATTAATAAGGGGATTCAGCCAGAGGGCAGAAGGTCAACAACGCCTCCCTGGGGACGGGGAGGTAATCTTCCAACATTCTCAGTTAAACGCTTTTGGTTCGAACTGAGCCCATCGGATTACCCAGGCAAAAGCCGCCCGGTTTGTCCCTAGGGGTTTCCAGCCTATACTGGTAGGGGACAGGAGGGGGTGCAGATAAGCCAGAGGACACCCTGCAGCTAACATATATCTCACGCAAACCACTTCACCAGGCTTGAGGTTGGGGGGGGACTACTGGGGATTAGGGTCACGGGCTGGCTCACCAATTGACCCTCAGGGGCAGAGCGGTAGACGATAAAGATAGATACGAACCCCCGCTTAACGATGTATAAGGGATAACTGCGCCTCCCACACCCCGCTTTTCGCATATTTCTCATGAGTCCCTTTGAGGTATTAGGAATGCGGCCACTTTTGTTGCCAATTTGGGTCCTTGCTGTTACAGTTACGGTTATATTTCTATGTTAAGATAATCTTAACTTGCTGTACTATCTGACAATGGGGAATCTAACTGTCCTACCTTAATGGCCTTTATAAAGGTAGTAATTGTATTGTATTACAAAAATGAAAAATAAAAAATAAAGAATTTCAAAAATAAAATAAAAGTTTCTGTTCTGAATAGTGGCATGTGTAAAAAAAGACTGAGTCCCTTGCAATTTTCCTGGTTCCACAGGTTTCAATGGTGACTACGTCACATTCAGTACTTTTAATCAATTTTCAGAATAAAACACTTTTATGCATAATCCCTATGTGCTTTATCCCTGCTGGGAATGCCAACCTCCCCACAGGAAATACATGGCATGACAGGAAACACACAGACACAACAGTTGGCAAATTATCAATGCAGTAAATCCATTATACTTTAGAAAGGTTAAGTAAGAAATTACTATATTTGCTAAAAGCATATTTATGTACATTTAATAGAGGGACAGTTCTGGTCAGTAAAACTAGTGCTTAAGAAATAATAAATAAAATGTTTTTCAAAATAGTGATAAATTACAAAGCAAAAATGATTTCAGACTTCATCTGTTAATATTAGAATTAAAATTTCAAATTAATGTGCGTATTGCATTCTGGGATCACAGAATCAGATCATGCGTGTTACATTCTGGGACCACACACATACACTGTATTGTGAGTCTGTGCAGACGAACACAGCATGAAACTGTCCTGATAGTGAACTATCATGTTGGTTAACATTCTGCATTACTCCAGTGTCTAACCTCCTTGGTAGCTGTACCAGTAGTATTTCAGTACTAACTGCAACTCACAATGTACTGGACAATGGGTCATTTATATAACATCTGCCTTGTCTGTGGGGTTTCACAGGAAGATTCTGGATAGCTCCAGAAATGCAGATTTTAATAAAAGAAAATCAATGTAGAATTAACATCTGTAAAGTTTGTTAAATGCACTATTTATATGCTTTTGAATGATACCCAGTTAAAAAGAAGTGTGCTTAATATTATCCCTGGTGTTTTCCTTTAAGGGAACATTGTTGTACATGATTTAGATATTAAGACTCCTTACCATTTCCTTAAGGTTTCCATAAGAGTAAGCACTCTGGATAAATGTATATATTTCTAAATGCGTCATGATATAAAATGCATTTTAAAATAGGTGGAAATACCCGTCTTGAAGTCTGCCTTTAAATTACATTATTTTGCTGTCTGGAGATTCTAATTAAACATTATTAATGTATACAATATTAGACATGGTGCTACATGTCTGATTATTAAAACTTTCATAAACGTAACAAAAGAGACGTTACACGGGACAGGAGGCTTTATTTAATGCTCTAACAGTTTTGTGTGTCCCAATTAGAGCTTTAAGGACACGTCTGAACAAAGTCAATGCGGGGGTCCTTATATGAAGAGATCATGGCAATTGTTAAGGTTAAAGCCAGAATAGACAAAGAAGGATTTCTATAAATCGACATACCACCATGTAAAAAAGATTAGCAGTATGGCATAAATAGAACAATTCTCATTTTAGTAAAATGAAAGTGATTAAGATAGTTTACCAAGTAGTAACTTTAAGAGAACACTACTTTCTGGGTAAGCTATGTGCCAAGTAAAAAATAGTGCATCAATAAAATCATAGTCATCAGATTACACCAACAGCATTCCCTAGAGAATGCATGCATAAGTCCACACAACATTGCTAGCTCCCTATGGTCCAACATGATGCCCCCGGTCAAGTGTGCCCATATGCTACACAATTCCAAATTTCTAGTACAAGCTTGGAGATCCTGGAGTTCAACCATTATTAAACCCGATGCCCTATTCCATTCTGCACCAATTGAGGTGCTGATGAGCATCTCCCCAGACCTAACGATTAAATCGTGGGTCACAAAAGGTATTCAAAAGGTGAATGATCTATTAGAGGGGAATAAAATTAAGCCATTCCCAGTGCTCCAAAAACAATACTCGCTACCACTGAGAGACCTATTTTTGTACATGAGAGTAAAAAACTTAATGTTTTCCAGGTTAGACACAACACATGATGTACTTCCCGAAGCAGTAGTGAATGTACCCTCAATGCTTTCAGCCAAACACTTGAAACCTCTCTCTCTATGTTACAATGCTCTTCTCCAGGGGCCTGCAAAATACAAAATGCCCTATATGATCCAATGGGAGAAGGAGCTGGGGTATGAGATACCTCTGTCACATTGGCATGAAGTTATGCCAATTACTAAACGAGCCTCAAGGAGCTTATCACTCTGGGAAGCCTTCTGTAAAATCACCATGAGATGGTACCTGGTGCCATACAAGTTATAGCGAATCTATAAGGAGGCATCGGAGCTATGCTGGAGATGCAAAACACAGATAGGCACTATGCTACACACATTTTGGGATTGTACGGCCCTGGGAGAATACTGGGACTGGATGAAGAAATTTATCTCTGATACCACACTCTATAGAATACCAAAGAAGCCAACCAGCTACCTTCTGCATATCATCCCCGAGCTGATACACCACCCCAACCACAAAGTATTGCTCATCATTCTCACGGTAGCGATAAACTTGGCGTTCCACTGGAAGAGCACGACGATTCCCTCGTTAGATACTCTCATACAGAGATTGAATACGATAAGTATTTACGAGAGAATGGTTAGCAAAACACAGGGTTGTATAAGTAGGTATGTGAAAGATTGGGAATGCTGGACCACAAATATTGGAAAGGAACAGGACAGCAACGCTAACAATGAGGAAACGGATAGGAATAAATAGCTTAAAGGGCACCACTTTTGTGTGACTTGAATGTCCGGCCAGGCTCTAGGGTTCTAAGGCCAGGGTATGTGTCACAAGAACTGTTGCATAAGCAATATCAAGGTGAACCTGCACCCCCCACCTCCCCTTTTTTCCTTTCTGTATTCCCCTCCCTATATGTTATATTTTTATGGTATTCTTATGTTTTAATGAAGCTAATAAGGTTACAATTACCAGAGGACAACAGCATAATACGTTTAAGCAAACCTTTGTTGTCAATCTAGGAAAAATAGTTGTAAATTGTCGTATAGCAATTGTTGACTCTGTTATATGAAAATGTTACAGTTTTGATATTATATGCATTGCTAACATTCTCTAATAAAAATGATATATGGAAAAAAAAATGACACCAACAGATATATCAATACATTGATAAAACAAAACACAAGAAGCAGGGGTTTTTTTTTTTTTTTAAATAACCTTTATTAAAAATACATTTAGTCAAAAGTTTAGACAAAGATATAATGCCATGGGAGTGAGACTATTATAACCAAATTAAGAGATCACATTTGTAAAAAATGGTGGATTTAGATAGAATTAAGCACCAAAACAACCTTAGCTTAATTAAGTGGTTTTAGAGTATAGATCATACCCTTGCAGTGATTGTTTTTTGACTATTTAGGAGTTAAATCACGTTGTTTATGCAGCCTTAGTTACACATCCTATGGCAGTGACTCACACAGCCTCCCTACACACTTACTGAGGGTTTCATGCTCAAATTAACTTAAGGAAGTGTGTTCTCCTTGCACGTGCTTACAGATGCCCTTCCAATTGCCTGCCAGTGCAAAGCAGCCTGCTGTGTGAGACTGGGTAAAGTTATATAGAGAACAAAGAAAAAATACACTTCTATAGAAAAAAACAACAATTCTTTCAAACTTGCAGACTTGTCTGAAATAATGAGGATCAGGTTAAGGACCATCCACGTTATTTAATAATAAAATATTTACATGTATACACATATCTACTCTAATATTACTTCCAAGCATGTATTTATAGCTTCAAGACGTGCACACTTTGTCTGCAATGTTTCTCTACAACAAGCATTTGATTGGACACAGACGTTAATGCTGGGTTTAAATGGGGTGGATCAACTTCTGTGCAGAACTTGTAGAAGAGGTAGGCCTTTTGGTATAGGGAAATTACTTAGAAAGTCAAATGCATATTTTCTTATTTTAACACATTTGATCAAGTGCATTAAAATGTAAAAAAAAAATTTAATTTAGGCTTTTCCCTTAAGAATGTAGCTTTAACTAAACGTTATCATCGTTACATAGAATCCCTTCACTTCTCTAAAACTTACGCCATTGAATTAGATGTAATGTTCTGTTTTCTTTTAAATTGATTTTTTTTTTTGGCCTATGACTACAAGTAACGACTGTCACTCAATCAGCCACTAGTGGGACTTCCTGGGTTCTGTCCTGCAAAGATTGCAGGACTGACGTTCAGCGTCTCCAAGCACTGCATGGATATATTGATGATAGATTGATGATCTGAGCCAGAGAGGCAGGGTGGCATGGAAGGGCTAAAAAGTAAGTTTAAAAAGCCTTTTTTTGTTTTGTTTTGCACACTGGAGGTGGAGGGTGGTCAGCTAAATAATTAGCAGAACCGTATAGCATTAGATATACATGTTTGTACTCCAAATACTATCGTGTTTCTTAATTTTTATTTTCAGACCTCGCAAATGCATATTAGTTTATAGCGGATAAATAAACATAATATCCAAAAATATGGGACCTTTAAATTTGGATGTCTGTGTCATAATTACTATCAGAGTGATTGTACATGACATAGTCACATATCTGCTATTTACGTTTGTATCTTTGCACAGCATGTGTATTGGGAGCAAAAACCAAAGTGGTTTGTTATAATTACTGGTTAAATAACTCCGTATATAAGCTTGGCCACAATTTATTTACATACACCTCTGAAACGTGCCAGCATTATGTACATATACAACATACGTACATAAACACAACACACTTTACATTTAAGATACTTCTCCTAAATAAAAGTAGAATAATCTAATTCTGACAGAATATAAAATATCCCACCGGGTGTAAAAGTCAGTCCTTGAAGGCTGCAAACATGACAGCATCCATGAATAAAGTGAATACAGATGCCATAAATAATCATTGCGGGTCACATTTGCATATTACTACCCAGAATCCCTGGTTGCAGTGCACGTAATGTACTTCAGAGGTCAACTGGAATGAAACACAGATCTGCTGACTTGTCTGGCATGTGTCTTAAAAAATAATGTGCTACATTTATCCTTGAAAACTTTCTCTCTCTCGAAAGATTGCAGACCAACACAATGAGATGTATGACAAAACATTTTTAAAATGAATTGCAAGAAATACATATTTGCATTTTGTGGTACTGATGTATGCTTTTGAGGTCATTGAAATTAGTTATTTGATTCTGCAACAGGACGCCTCTTATCTGACTGTCAATCATTATTATAAGGACCTTCCTTTGCCCCAAGCAGTCAGTATAAAGAGAGCATAGCGAAGTGGAGAAATTAAAAAAATGTCAATGTCTCCTCCTCATCTGCATTGTGTGCCCTGGCCGTGCCTGGACTGAAATGGACTGTGATGTAATTTGCTAAATCTTTAAAGCAGGGGCTCCCAAAAAGTAGATCCCCAGATGTTGTAGAACTACAACTTCCATGATGCTTTGCATGCCTTTAGAATGACAAAACATCATGGAAGCTGTAGGTCTACAACATCTGGGGATCTACTTTTTGGGAACCCCTGCTTTAAAGGCGCACTACAATGTTAGGAAATTAAACCTCAATTCCTAACAGTATAGTGCCCCTATTCTCTCCCTCACTTACGCAGCCCCAGCAGCATATAAAGGGTTAAAACCCCTTCAAACACCTGATTCCAGCACCTGTGTCTCTTGGTGCTGGATTGGGCTCAGCCTCCTTCAACGTCAGCCAAAGGGGGGAACCTAGTGCACAAGCTTGGCACACACATTAGGCTTTCCCCATAGGAAAGCATTGACTCCATGCTTTTCCACGGGGATTTTCCACACACTGGTGATCCTCTTGCAATGCGTGAGAACGTCAAGCGTGGTTTCATGGTGTCAAATTCAATGAAACTGCAGGAAGCACCCCTAGTGGCTGTCTGGTAGACTGCCACTAGAGGCAGTCTTAACCCTGCAATGTAAACATTGCAGTTCCTAAAGGGAACATTAACAATCCACACAGACCACTTCAATGAGATAAAGGTGTCTGGGTCCTGTAGTGTTTCTTTAATATAATAAACGTACAGGGGAACTCCAAACCCCTAAATCACTTCCACTTGTCGAAGAGCTTTACGTGTGTAGAGTGTGTCCTCTTTTTTTCATTTTACAAAAAGTTCAGATAACAATACAAATTGGCACTTTTATAAATTACCTAGTAACACTCCTCGGAGCAGACAATCATTCAACTGGCCTTTTTACTTCCTGGTTTGCTAAGTTCAATGAAGCTAAATTCAAGACACAGGCAATTGCCCAGATCACCTGCCTTGCAAAGGTTCTCATTGTACAGCATTGGGAAGTCTGTGATTGGATAGCAAAAGAAAGTCTTGGCAGGGTTAGACGGGGAAGTCTTGCAAAGTCTTCAGGAAAGAGATATGGAGCTTATGCAAACTCTTTTTACATATATCCCCAATGAAAAAATAGAAATGCATTCATGTTCACATGGGGGTATAGCAACAAAACAGTGATTTTGATTTTGATTGGATTTTGGAAATTAAGTATCCCTTTAAATGAAAACAGAGCATCACATAAAAAGGTAGGTTATTTTCAATGTTTTTTTTCAATGTTTGTAATTTCCAGAGAAGTAGCAGTCCTGTTTTAAAGCCAATACATATGGCTATCTCCCCTCGATAAAATAAACACATCTACATAGTGATGTCCTGAGCTGCTCTAAGGCAGAAATGGTAATATTCATATCTATAATTACAAAATGTGCCATTAGGCCTTCCTCTTTACAATGTTCAAACATTATGTTGCTGGAATGTCCTCATTGACATTCTCTTCTTTGAATGGCTAGTTTTCGCAGCACATTTTACTGTATTGTTTGTGTTTAAATTGCCTTTAAAACTTGTGATTTTTTAAAAATTTAGCTTTGTGACACTATGACACTACTAAAATAATAACATTGCTCATTTAAAAACAAAAAAACAACAAAACATCCACAAACAGTACAATAATCACAATTTTAATCATAAAAGATAAATCAAGATTCTTGAAGATATCTGTATGTATTTTAAAGTCGTTTAACCATTAGTAAAACAAAACTAATCCCTTGAAGACAAGGATTTAGGATGTCTATGAAACAAGTTATCCATTTGTAGAAACATTATACATTTATCAGACTATAATTGGTTTCAATCTGTTTGTTTTAGCTAGAGAATGGATTAGGGGATCAGTTAGACTTCACTGAAGAGGTCATCGGGATCTGGAGTGCATTTTGGTGTTGTTAAAGACGGTCTTTCTGATGAGGAAGGACTGTCAGAAGTCTTTGGAGGGCCTGGATTACATCTGCAAAAACAAACAACAAGAAAGTCATTCTGCGTATAATCAATAAAGTATTTATATATATATATATATATATAGATATAATACAGCGATTTGTCACTAAACAAAAAGGAAGTCACAATAATTTTGTTTTATTATAAAGAAATTACACTTCTTCAACTTGTGCATACAAAACTATAATTAATCATAAAACATTTTCAAAAATACTTACTCAACTGTTGCAGGGAAAAAAAACTGTTACAAAATAATATATATTAATAATCAAACAAACCTTTAAGAAACATAAGAGGAAAAGTCAAAGGTTTAAATGTGAACAATTTAAAGTAATGTATCTATATATCTTTCTCTAGATTGTGTAAAATAGCTTATGGTGTTACATATAAGTGTTTTATGATTTGCATAAGATGCTTACGTAAAATAAAGAAATAAAAAGAATAATGGCAGATTTTACTAAATC